AGACTAGAAGAGCGTGTAGCGTGACTAATCGCTCTACAGGACCGATTTCCATTGATCCACGGTCCAGGTTTGGTGTGCCTTGCCCCATGTCAATCGACGATGTGCATTTGTTTTTGTTATCAACAGCTTGTGGGCTGCAGCTCTTTTCCCCAAATGACATCAAACTCTCCTTCCCCTCTGAAACTGTTAGCTCTTTTTGTGTACTCATCATTCGTCGTAAAAGTTTGAAATGACTTCCGAGCGAACCACTGATTAATTTTATAGGCCAAACTGTTTGCATTATTCGTCAGCACATCCATTTTCCTGCAATCTGAGATGAGACCCATGACTTTTGGTAGGATAGTGTATATATATGTTATTTAATATTAGTTTTTGTAGTATATTTTTGACAGAGTATAATAATAACTAATGTGTACTTCCATTTCAGTTACTTGTTCCACAATGGCTCAGCAGTAAGTCTGAGAGCTTATAACGTTAAAAATCTGGTTTCAATACCCGCTGTGGACAGAGCACAAAGTTCATTGCGTAGCTTCACGCTCATCAGCAAACAAACTTCAGTTATCACAGATCAGGAGTTCCTAAACGTAGTGCCGCAGGAATTTGTTGTAATAAGTGGCTTACATAAATAGTGTACCGACCACTACTGTGCTTATTGTATTCCAGCCAGCATGAAGAGCTCTGGGTTAGGCGAAACGCGTCGTCGGTAATGGATATGGCAAACATAGTGTGGTTGGAATACTCTTGTTATACACTCTTCTAATTATTGAAAGTCCTTAAAGGACTAGATAAAGAATGTAGTGTTAAAAATTTAACAGGCCTAATACTAATGCATAATGACAAGTATAATTATAAACAGTTACTTTGAACTTTATTGAACGGCCATATTATAAGAATTAGATCAAGAGCATTGTCCCTTGTCAATTTGCGCCACTCACTCCAATTTAAACAATTTAAATTAAATTTAATTTAAATTAAACAATTTATAGCACAGATTGCAAATTGTGCAGTTCTGCGCTGAAACAAAACAATCAAAACGGTTATAACACAGACAGACCATAGTGTAACTTTGTACTAAAACACAACGGTTATAATGCAAAGACCCTATTGTGTAACTTTTCGCTAAAACAAAACAAGAACAAACCAGACAAAACGGTTATAGCACAGACAGCCCATTGTGTAGTTTTGCACTAAAACAAAAAAGAACAAGAAAACAACAAACAAATAAAAAGGTTATAAAGCAGATAGCCAAATGTGTGGAGTTTTGCACTAAAACAAAACAAAACAACAAACAAATAGAAAGGTTATAAAGCAGATAGCCCAATGTGTGGAGTTTTGCACTAAAACAAAAAAGAACAAGAAAACAACAACAACAAACAATTAAAGGTTATAAAGCAGATAGCAAAATGTGTGGAGTTTTGCACTAAAACAAAAAAGAACAAGAAAACAACAACAACAAAC